GTCCAATTCAAATGTGATCTTGTTTTGTCCAACCAGCTGTCCAACACCCAATGATATTCTGTTCACACTGAAGAAGCTGGAACCTGAGAATTTTGGTATTTTTCTTAAAACATGGCTCAAAAATTGGCTTGGATAGGTGCTCAAAACTATTCATTGATTTTCAAAATTATTGCCTTTCCTTTCAAATCCTAATGAGACTCATTAATTTATTAGTGCAACTTGCAGGTTACTGCATTGGCTGTGGGTGCTTGATCTGCACTGTTTCACAAAGCCTTGTAACACCACATCAAATAAATTACAAATGATTAACTGTGCAAACAAGTCACCAAGCTATGGAGCCAGAGTTAAAGATTCTGTTATTATTGAACTGAAACCATCAGCCATTAAGCGCCTTATCAGCTGGTGAGTTGTACCGGATAATTACGATGCCTTACTTTGAAAAATATACACAAATTGCTTATCATGATTTAAATCATTATGTTTATCAATATGGAAGTTAATTAACTATGATGTTTGATACAGGTGCAGCAGTGAAGTCCTGTCTCTTCACATGCACAAATGCACCCAGGCATAAAAGCTTGTTCCATTCCTCTTCCTGTTGGGGGACCTGGAATCCATGAATGAAGTTTGTGAAACATGCACAAAACAAAAATTCACCATGATGATTGGAGAAATAAGCAAAACTAGCAAAAACAGACCCATTAGGATTTGAAGACCAATGACATTTTAGCTATTATGTCTCAATGATGTACAAAATTATTTGTACATTTCAAATGATCAATTCAAAGAAACATGAAGTACCATTTTGTAAAAAAAAAAAAAAAAAAAACCTGCAAGTTGCTCTGTAACATTACACTACTTAAGTTCATAACTGTTTAAGACAGTTAGCCTCAATTATAAGATAACTTCAGCTGATACTGGATGTTGACTGGCTGGGGTCACGTGTGTTTCTGTACCACTTGTAGAAGCCTCATTATCTTCATGAATGCTGTCCACCAAGCTGTTTTTTCTGTTTTTCTACACTAATGGTCTAGATTACTTGCAGTTGGAGACAAAGAACCATGAGATGATGTAATGTTCTGTGTGTGTGTCTTAAGTCCCCTCAGTACAGTTCAGGTGGCAGCTACGACAGTGTAAAGATGGACTTGAGTGCCGAGGACCTGACCATGGGGCGTCATGGCAGCCAGGTTGCCCCTGATGATGACGATGATGATCATGATGACCATGACGACAGTGACAAGATGAATGACACAGAGGGAGTTGATCCCGAGAGACTAAAGGCCTTCAATGTAAGTTGGAGACAGTGTGTTGGTTCAGACCTTCAACTCTGGCTCATGTCCCTACAGGGATCATTTAGGTGTTTCCTTATATTCATAAAGAAAAAATATGGAGGTGCTGACTGTGTTTATCTCTTTTAAAAATCCATATACTGTATTTGATCACAGAAGTACTAAGCACCCTAGAATACAGATGGATGACGGCTCAGGGTATACCTTATATCTACACAATTCTTTTTTTTTTTTAAATGAGCATTAACAATACATTGAATGAGGGTCACTCGCACTGATGAACCCACAGTTCACTTTCCAGAGCTACTGAACTTTTGGACCTCTTTTAGGTCATTGTTTTCATTTTACAGCACATTTAGTATATGATTCAGTGTTAGTGCTCTCATGTACCTCATTTCTATTAGCTTCCAGCAGCTGGTTTCAGTAAACAGGCTCTGCACTACCTGCCCAACAAAAAGCAGCTGACAGTGTTAGTACTGACATACACATATGTATACACACTTTAAAGACAACCTGGAGAAACAAAGTATATGAAGCTGCACACAGGTAATATTACAAATGTTTTCACTTTACCAAAGAAGTGTTGTTGTTCTGCAGATGTTTGTGCGTCTGTTTGTGGACGAGAACTTGGATCGGATGGTGCCCATCTCCAAACAGCCCAAGGAGAAGATCCAGGCCATCATTGAGTCTTGCAGCAGACAGTTCCCAGAATTCCAGGAACGTGCCCGCAAGCGCATCCGCACCTACCTCAAATCCTGCCGACGCATGAAAAAGAATGGCATGGAGGTATTGCACCTGCTAATGATCTTTTTGTTTCTTAGTTTCTGTTAGCACGCTATTTCAAGTAATATTTCAGCATTTTTATTATCAAAGTGGGGCCTGCAGCTGATATTTATTTTCATTATTAATGGATGATTATTTCATTCTATAACAAAAAGCAGAAGCGGAAGTATTGGGGTTTGAGAATCAGTGTGTGGAGGAGCTGAGTGGATGAAAATTTAGGAGGAAGAATTGGACGAAGAGAACAGGGAGGTCCTTTGAGAAACTTCTGCAGTTGGCGTTGACAAGTGGTTTTGGCATAATCTAGACTGTGACTGGATTGGAATGGCAAGTAGTATGGAGGCATGTCTGAGGATGATGATGTCTGAGAATTTGATTAACTAAAAGAAAAGAGGCAATTGTGAGATATGTTATAAAGAAAACTGAAAGAGAATATTTGAAGAAATATTGTGAGCAGCACCCCATCCGGCGTAAAACACTTGCCAAATGTATACATGCAAACAGTTGATTCACTCTGGCAACCCCTAACGGGAACAGCTGAGAGTAGTAGTAGTCCTTGAGCCCCCCCTTCAGAGGGATATGCTCAGTCGACAACCAAACCTTCTGGCACAGGCTATAAGGAGGGGCCTGCCCTCCGATGGTGATCTGCCAGGATCCGGTTATGTTCTGCTATGCAGCACAAGGCAGCCCGGGTTCTCTTCCGGCAACAGCGGAAGTGAGCCTGGACTGAAGGGACTGCGATGTCTCATTGTTCAGTGGGCAAGGGGGGTGGTTGGTAGCCCGGTGACACCTTGAAAGGGGACAGTCCGGTGGCTGAGCTGACCAGGGTGTTATGGGCACATTCCACCGATGCACGGTGTTTGCTCCAGGCTGTGGGATCTGCCAAGGTGATGCACCGGAGGGCCTTCTTCAGCTCCTGGTTCAAGCACTCCACCTGGCCATTGGTCTGGGGGTGGAACCCTGAGGACAGGCTGATCAAGGCCCCCAAGGTGGAGCATAAGGCCTGTCAGACCTGTGATGTAAACTGGGGGTCCCGGTCAGAAACCACATCCTGCAGGATTCCGTGCAGGCAAAAAACATGGTCCATTAGCAGGACGCAGTTTGGGCAAGGCGATGAAGTGGGCTGCTTTGGAGAATTATTTGATCGCTGTAAGAATGGTCGTCATCCTCTGGGATGGCGGCAGTCCAGTGATGGAGTCCAGGGTGATGTGGACCCATGGACAGTTCAGGACTTGTAAGGGGAATAACAGCCCTGCCAGAGGCTGGTGTGAGATCTTGGCACGAGTGCAGGTAGGGTAAACCTGGACGTTTTCCCTTACGTCCCGGGCCAAGGTGGGTCACCAGAACCAACATAGCAGCAGAGACGTGGTTCAATTGACCCCAGGATGACAGGTGAAGCGAGAGGCGTGCCCCCATTCCAGGACCTGGGAGCAGACATGGTCGGAGATGGGGAGGCTGAGTGTGGGGTAGGGAGTCAGTCTCGAGCGTGTTGAACTGAAGCTGACTGAACGACCCACTGGGGACCTGAATGGCTGCACTCAGGGCGGTATACCCACAGGCGGTTGTCAACCTTAATCACCAGAGACACTAGCGCATCAAACCCCTCGGGTTCATTGCATGCCGCAAGCTCATCTTTAGGACCTCAGTCAGTCCATTAATAAAAACCCCACTCAGCGCTGTGTCATTTCACCCCGAATTGGCGGTGAGGATACGGAACTCCACAGCATACTTGGCCACGCTCCCTGCTTCCCCAGCAGAGAGCCAGTAGTCGTTTGGCCCCTGCCGCCTGCATGATCAGGATGATTGAAAATGTTGCTAAACTCAGCTAAGAATTCCTCTAGGCTCATGTTCCGAGCAGCAGAATGAGAGAAGAGCGCCTCGACTCACTCCAGCACTCTTCCACCTAGTAGGTTGCACATATACCTGATTTTGGTCTCGTCCGCCGAAAACTGTTCAAGGTACTGGTCGAAAATCATGGAGCACTGGAGGAGAAAACCACAGCATTTACTGAGGTCACCTGAGAAGGGTTTGGGATCTGAAATACTGTGTTCTGGCTGAGCTAGACCAGACTGAGGGGGCAGACTGAGAGACTTGTGTGGTGAGACAGAGGACCAGCCGAGCCATGGAATGTCTGGACTCAATTGAAGCATGGTGAGCCTGTTCCAACTGGCGCAGCCGTTTTATCAAGTTCATGCAGCAAGAGCTGGTGAGGCGAACCTCCTGAATCTAAGTAGGCTGAGTCCATGATGGCTGGTTCATTATGTTAAAGCTAGAATCCCGGGACAATAAGGACTCAATGAACATCACTCAAATTCAGGAAATAGGACTGGTTTATTAAGGGACAGGGAGGAGGGAAGGCAGGCTCAACAGGTCTGTCCAAACCGGTATGACTGGGCAGCTGGATGAGCACTGGGGATGATGCAGAGAGAGGACCAAGGCAAACTGGAGGAGATCCACTGGGTTGCAGTACTGCACTGGTGGATGAACTCTGGGTTGTGTCTGGTAGAGAGTTCTGGGGTCCCAGTATGGAACAGGAGGAATGGAGGTAGGTAACATGGAGGCAGGCAGCTGGAGAAGCTGGGCACACAGTGGAGGCAGACAACTGGAGGGACAGGACACAGCGTGGATGCTGACAGCTGACAAGACAGAGCCCACAGTGGAGGCAGCTAACTGGTAAGTGGAGGACACAATCACAGGCTGAGCACAGGATCCAGAAGCACACAATTGGAGGTACACAGTTAGAATTGTGCAGGTTTTCAAAGAGAGCCGGAGTTGGCAACTGAGAGTACAGAAACAACGAATCGGCGACAAAGCACACCAACGCCCGGCTTAAGTAGCACTGGGCAGATTACAATCAGCTGTGCGTGATGTGCCTCGCCTACTAATTTGGCTGCCTGCACGTGAGGGGACGGAGGTGCCAACTGGGGACGTGACAAGAATTAAATGTGATAAACAGATTAGTGGTAATATCTCTGTATATACAGGAGAATTAATAGCTATTTTACTAGCGTTATAATGGTTAGAAGAAAATAAACCATTAAAAGTCCTAATTGGATCAGTTAGATTAATTGGATTGCCAAGGTTCAGGCAGGAGAGGGAGTTTTTTCAAAATACACTTCAAAGTGGTGGCATGAGCTTTAGTTTAACAGAGTTGTTACAAAAGAGCTCAGGGGATGTTGGGTACAGAGCACTCTAGGTTTTTAGAGAGTACAGGACTGAGTAAAATAATACAGTAGCCATGTCATACCCGACTGAGTGAATGTATGGTGTGAGCAGTGAAGTTGCGGATTCTGTCCGTGTGGTCGGGCCGCTTTAAACGTATAGTGAGTTAACACATATACTAGCAATTAAAGTCATACAGTGTCTGCTTGGCTTAAGAGAACAGGACATTCGGGAGGAGGTCTGACTGTGTTCTAGTTGGAAGTAATAATAGTTAAGTTAATGCATCAGTCATAGCAGAAATAGTACCAGTGGTTTTATCAGTTGGTTGTAGTTGTTTAATCAGCCAGCACATTTAACATATGACCAGTTGTAAATTGCAGCAGTGGTGTAATTATGGTTTTATTCCATTTCCATTTGAATGTAGTATTAGACGTTAGGCAGGTGGAGAATTAACTTACAAATCTTCTTTGCTCCAGGCATGATTCTTTTTCTGATTGTTCAATTTTTATTTACACATTTTGGCCTCTGTGCCAGCGATAGCCGTGGCCAGAGGCATTATGTTTTCAGGTTGTCTGTCCTGACATACATCTGTCCATATGTCTGTCTGGCCCATTTTCATGAGTGCAGTATCTCAGGAACACCTTGAGGGAATTTCTTCAGCTTATAATGAAGTTGTTGTCAAATCTATAGTAATGTGTGCACAGTATTAAAGTGTTATAGAATTTTCTTCAACTTTGGCACAAACACCCACTTAATGAACTGATTAGATTTTGGTGGTTAAAGGTCACAGTGACTTCACATCCCTCCCAGTAACAGGAATTTGACTGGTTGGCAAAGGCTACAGCAACAAAGTGGTAATTCTTGTTTTTGTTATTATACTTTGTTCTGTTTATAGGTGTAGGTATAGTGTTGCCAGAATGCACCGGAATGACGCTTTGAGCGGAGCAGAGAGGAAAAAGAATATTTTTATAGTAAGGTTGACATTCATAATGTTACATTTTTGTGACCCCTTGAAGATCCAGTCATCACTAAAGCGTAGGACGTGCAAGAGAACCAGTAAAAACAAATGGAATGGTTTAAGTTGTGATAAAATGTAAGGTGTGGTGACTGATTCACACTGTCAATTCAAACAACTCTGGTGACCCAATGTCAGCTGGGATTGGCTCCAGCCCCCCATGACCCTATTCAGGAATAAGTGATATAGATAATGGAGGGATAGATGGATTGATTCTGCCACACCAGAGAATACAGTTAGTTTAACATTTGATCATGTGGGCAGTTGACTGACTTTAATGCATGTAATGTAGTGTTTACATGGCCCTCAAAACAAACCACATCTGGTTCTGTTGTACTGTCATATGCAATGAGGAGTTTGAAGCAGACCTGATTAGGTCCCATACATCCATTTTTATTTGCTCACTGTTTTATATTGACTTATACAATTGTGTTATGTAAATAATGTGTCTTTTAAGCCGAGAGCTGCTCGTTGTGCTACGCATAATGACAATAAAGATTCTTGACTTGACTTGACTTGACTTGTACAGCATCTATGTACTGTATGTACATGAGTGTGAATGAAATCTTTTAGTTAGCATGTATGCTATAGTAAGTTAAGTGTGCTCCACTGTTGTTCATACATATTTATGTGCATCACTACTGTAAAATGTAGTGTGTATTTACATTATAAAGGATTCATGTTATTCAAAACTATTGTCCAAAATTAATTTTTAATTTATCCTTCACTACATGATTGGTCATTTCCTTCAATAGCTCAGTAGGCAGAAGTTTGACTCACTTGAAAATCGATACAATTCAACTTAGTGAATTTGGATGAAACACTATAGTATGTACTGTATGTATGTACAATTGTATGTACTGTAGATGAGAGTACATATTCAGCAGTATTGTGTGAAGACCGACAGGTTGCTTTATACTAAATGTAAAGATGAACCAATCATGAGAATGTCTCTGCTTCCCCCCAGTGATGAAGTCTGGTGTTACACTGTGTGTAGTCAGGTATAGTCAGTAGCCGAGTCATCAAGAAACACAGTGGGCCCAGTCTGCCTTTGCATCACATTCCATTATGACAGTAAAAGATGCCCTCAGGGATGTAATAATAATAATAATGTCTCCCACAGGGGAAATTCAAGTGTTACAGCAGAAGTCCAAACATTTTAATAATAAACGTAATAAGATAAAATAGAATTCACAAGTCACATCACAGCAAGAAGGTTTGAGCCTGAGCCGACTCAGGGCCTTTCTGTGTGGAGTTTGCGTGTTCTCCCTGTGCCTGCGTGGGTTCTCTCCTTGTACTCCGGCTTCCTCCCACAGTCCAAAGACATGCGGCTTAGGTTGACTCCGCCTCTCAGCCAGTGTCACCTGGAATTGGCTCCAGCCCCCCTGTGACTCTATCAAATCTTCAGAGCCCCACAATAGGCAGCATCATTTTCCAACCCTGCCCTAACCTAAAATACATGTCCATTTATTTTATAGACACCATTATATAGGGCAAAATGCAGGCCATACCACTGACTATGATTATAACACACTGGTACAGTACAGTTAAATAGACTGAGGGGCAACAAGACAGCCCAAGCCCCCTGTTTGCTTTCAGTAACTAAGATTGCTGTCAATGTTATCGCTGTTCAGCCACAATGGTCACCATGGTGTCATGAAACATCAGAACTAAAGACACAAGACATCATGCTAAGCCGCCCTCTGAATAAAATATCTGCATTATCATCAACCCCATGTTCTGTGTGGGTGTGAGAGTGCAGGCGAGTCTATAGGGACATCATCTGGGCATGCACAGTACCCTCAATAACTCACCCTCTCAGTAACTGGTGTTTCACTGAGTTGGGGTGACAACCACTCCTTACCTGCACAGCCAGCACAGTCCTCAGACCATATCTACTCAATACTCTGTCAAACTCACCAGTTAGGGCTACTGTTAGTAACAACAACAACATTAACTTACAGCTTAGCAACATACTGTCCTAATCATCAAACACCCTGTCTTTATAATCACTCAAACAAATCAGCCAAACCTCTAAATCCTCAGGTTAGGTTGCTAGTAGGCCTCAAGCCTGCCTCATGGAGCAAACATTTTTAAACACACTCCAGCCCAGTTTACCAGTTATGTTATGCACATATGCTGCAGCCTACAGTTCAGTTTGCTCTACTAGATTTACATTTACTTATCTTTGCCCCAGTCACACACCTTTCTTTTCCAGAGCCATTCACTTGAACATGCAGCACCCTACACACAGAAAGTACATGTGTAGTGTGTGTGTGTGTGTGTGTGGGTGTGTGTGTGTGTGTGTGGGTGTGTGTGTGTGTGTGTGGGTGTGTGTGTGTGTGTGTGGGTGTGTGTGTGTGTGTGTGGGTGTGTGTGTGTGTGTGTGGGTGTGTGTGTGTGTGTGTGGGTGTGTGTGTGTGTGTGTGGGTGTGTGTGTGTGTGTGTGGGTGTGTGTGTGTGTGTGTGGGTGTGTGTGTGTGTGTGCGTATGTCCAATCGCTTTCTTTCTGCCACTGTCCCAGCCGACCACAGCATACAGGATGGCTGATGCCACCACATAGTCATAGTCATAGATTTTCTACATTGGATGCTGTGTCAGTGTACCATGACACTAAAACAGTATCGAACATGGAGCTCTGAAGCTCTTTTATTACTTTCAGACTTGGCACAGAATCAGTGACGCTTAACAGGAATGATCATTTCTCTGGGCAGAGATCTTTGCTGGCATGAAAGTAAAGCTTTTTTGTTTGCAATAATTAAATGTGGAAACTCTCTTTCTTTTCCCAGTAATTGTTGTGTGGTTGTGTGTCTCTGACATTGTAAATCCAGAATGACATCATAACCACATGTGGGCAAATTAAATAAATAACTAATGTTGTTCTTTTGTCACCAGACCCGTCCCACTCCACCTCACCTCACCTCAGCCATGGCTGAGAACATCCTGGCTGCTGCCTGCGAGAGTGAATCACGCAATGCTGCAAAGAGGATGCGCCTTGAAGCCTATCACGTAAGTATGCTTGTGTGAGATTTAGCACTTCTACATGGTAAAATAATGAAAAACAAAGAAACTGTCTTGGTAAAATAGAAAACCTAAAAAATTAACAGATTAGAGATCTTCTTATACAGGAAATGAACATTAGCAATACCAATTTTTATTCTAAATGTTTATATTAAGATTTCAAAGGATTAGCCTTGGTTCTTAAAACTGATAGACCACCCAGCTTCTTGTATTGTATTTTGAAAAGAAAAACCATCACTTCCTGTTTCCCTGTGCCAGGATGAACAGATCTCTCTGGACAAGCCATCCAGTGGGGGAGGGAGTCTAAGGGAGCCAGCGTCACTTGGTCACTCTGCCTATACCTTGGCCACATCAGCCTTCTCGCCCCAGGATGCCCAGCTCTACATCAATGGAGCCAGCCTCAGCTATGGTTACCGTGGATACCCAGGCCTGGGCGCTGCCATGCAACACCCTGTTTCCCTGACAACTTGTGCTGCTGCTCAAAGCAACGGTGAGGATGGGAGAGCAGTAAAGGGCAAGCGAAAGGGGTCTTTATGGAGGTAGAGAGTGGAGGTGGACAGGACCAAATAGTGAGAGGGAAGAGTGAATAAAAGAGGAAGCAGGCAGTGAGGAGAGAAAGAGAGAGACAGAAATGAATGTGGTGGGTGAGGGAAGGGAAGAAGTGATCAAAAGAAACAATATGAACTGGTAATTTTGGGATGAATGAGAAGGAGAGGAAGAAAGAGCAGCATAAGAGGGCAATGAAAAGCGGCAGAGCAGTAGATGGCAATATGATACAGCTAACACACATAGAGTACATGATGGTAGTCTCTGACTTGAGCTGTCGATTCAGAGTAATTCTGCTAAATAAATAATATATCATAGTAGAACACAGGCTTCTCAAACTCTCAAAAATGGATACATTTGTCTCTAGTGGCTGTGTACTTCAATTTCTTTGTCACAGATGACTTAAACACACTGGATAATCATCTGCAGATCTTTATTGTGGTTTATTCTGTAAATATTTATTTCAAAGTATAGTCATTATATTATTATTTGTGATTTGAGTCTCAGGTTCCTGCCAAATGTAGCAAAAATTCATCAAATACATTAACAGTTTAAAGAGCAACTTAACAGCAGGTTTCCAAGCAGTGTTCCACTGTACTGTCTGGATAATTGTTAAAAGCTGCTTTAACTTTACTTTAGTTACCAGTTACTTTTCAGAACCAGGTTAATACAAAAAATACAGTATAAAACCTCATTGAAATTCACAAGATACCCAATACTAATTCTAGATTGCTTTCAGTGGCGGCTTTTGAAGGCAATTCATACAGTCTTTGGATGCGATGCAAATTATTTCAAGCAGACCTTCATCCTCCACAGTGTTAATCAGCCTGCAAGCTATAGCCAGCATTTAGCTATCGATGTTGAAATTCTGTTCCTTTAGAGCTGTCCAGGTGTCTCCTGCTGCAAACTATCCACCATGGCGATGTGATTGATAATGACAGGGGAGGAACATGAGCTGAAAGCAGTCAAAGTTGCATCAAATTTAATTGACTGTCATTCAGAAGCTATACATGGAATCAAAAAGCTACTTCATACCAATGTAGGGCAACATGTGTGGTGTCATTTTGCCTTTGAATGACCCTCCTACATGAAACTCTGGAACTTTAAATTTAGTTAGGCATTGACATTCACTGTAGCACCCCCTGTTGGCATGGGTACATGAAATTCAGAACACTCCTTTAGGACCCTTAGGTGCACAAGTCCCCAAAGTTTGGTTAAAATATAGCAATCCACAGATGAGTTAGTTTATCAAACTTATAATGACAACAGGAAGTGGGATTAGCTGAAATATAATACATTTGGCTGAGATTCATGTCTTCCCTGCAGTGTTGTAATGTTTCAAAGTTAAACCATGCCTGTAGCACACTTGAGTGGTGTAATTAAACCTAATTTTACAGGGCTGTTACAATTTTGGTTGCATTTGGGCATTTTAATGGAGAGTTATAGTGTCTGACACCTTTCAACCCTGACCACTTGTTTTCAGCAGCCAATAGTTAGAGAACAATAAGGAATATTGCAGAACGAGTGATAGCATTCTTTCCAGGGTGCTTCAAATAGGGGATATTCTAGGTTTGGTGAAGATTCAATCAAGTATGGAGAATAGGGAAAAATACAAAAATGGTGGAAAAATCTAGTCAGACAGAAGGAAGACAAGTATCAAGCTTGTGGTTATTATCTTTAATAGTTTTTGAGATATTCCCAAAAAAAGCCTTGGAAAAAAGTCATTTTTCATTCATTTCTATGTGAAAAAATTGCCCATTTTTTGTGATTTGTATGAAAACTGAGAATGGATCCTCACCACACTATGCCCAATGGCAAGACATGAAGCTGGTTTATGTAGCTCAAAAACTGCGGGAGGAGTAGGACGGTGAAATTTTGGTGGAAGAAAAATAGAACCAAATAATAATAATAAGAAGCCTACAGGATTGCAAGAGGTGTGCTGTGTTCCTTCGGAGCTTGCACACCTAATAATAATAAGAAGAAGAGTTGAGTCAACTTTTCTCCATTTCAACTGGTTGTCAGTGTGATTTCTATGTTGCCAGCACCTGTTGGTTGCTACAGGTGAGTTTCATTACAAATTAAAGGAACATCACATGCTGGAAATACAACTACTTCTGATGATTTTGAAAAAGTGTCAGTAATTCTGTCCAGTCCTTTTTTGGAGTTCTGTGTGGAACGGATCAGATTTGACTTTTTTCTGCTTTTTGTGTTGTTCCAATGCAAACAAAAGAAATAGCCATGAGAATACCAAACATTTGTGATTGTAACAGTTTTCTGGGTATAAGTGGTGTGTTATCTGACAGATATGCAGGGTTGACAGTATTTTTGGCCATGACTGTAATTTGCAAATTCCTCCTAATTATGTTCTAATTATATTTCAGCAATTTTCATGTGATTTTGACATTTTCCATTCTTCTCCTATTCTCCTTCTTTTCACCTCTGTATCACTCCTGTTGTTCTTCACTTCATCCTTCTCCTTCTCCACCTTATCCCTCTCTCTTTCCTTCATTTTTTCTCCTTTCCTCTCCATCCATCTTTCCCTCTGTCTTCAGGCCCCACAGACCTCAGCATGAAGTCTCTCTCCTCCACCAACATCAGTAATTCCTCCTCCTCTACTACAACCAACAGCCTGGGTGGGAGGAGCAGTGGGGGAGGGGGAGGGGGCGGGGCCTCGACCCAGCTCAGTCAACCAGAAATCACAGCTGTGCGTCAGCTAATTGCCGGTTATCGGGAGTCGGCTGCCTTTTTGCTTCGCTCGGCTGATGAGCTGGAGAACCTCATCCTGCAGCAGAACTGATTTGGAGGAAGAGTGGGGAGGACACACTCACTTCCATTATGGTTTGTTTTGTCTGTCTGCATCCCCCTGTCACTTTTTAGCGATGCTGAAGACTAGACTCCCTCTTGTTTTTTGCTCTTCCCTCCTTAGATTTGAGTTTGTTGGTTTCTCTTCATCTGCCTTCTCTTCAGAAATTGTGGCCACTTTTGTTTTAGGAACAAAGTGAGAATGTGGGATAGAGGGAAGGTGATGAATCCCCACTCGTGTCCCCAGAATAATCCCCCACAAACCTGAATCTGCTGATTCTGCCTGAGCAGGACACAACTGGAAACAAAAGGAGCAGCAGAATCTCTTTGTCTCCTCTCTGGAAGCACCTCACAATCAGCATTGCACTCTCAGCAGAGGACAGGAAGAGAGGAGGTGCAGGTGCAGTGAAACAGCCTGGGAGAGGAGTAAGCAATGTGGTTTCAGAAAAAAAAGACTTGCTCTTATTGGTGGAGCGGTTTTTGAGTTTCCATCTGGAAACAGAGTTTTGACAGATACTCGGGTCAACGACATCTTATGATCTTAATTCTTTAAAAATTAATAAAAAGGGACTCCCTAAATGAGTGAATTTCATTTAATTGAAGGTTTAATTTATTCTTTTTTGAGAGTCCAGTGAGAAATTATTTTGGTTGTTTTTTGACTCTTCCCAAGTGACTGTAAAAGGTGGTTTGACTTTAAAAGACAGCACTAAACAGGGAAAAGACTGGACAGTTGAACCTAGAGAAGAAAATGATGGAAAAGCTGTTTGTTTGGTTAAAAAAGGAGGAGAGAAACTTTTTTGTGCTCGCTTGTATATAAGCTGTCTGTGTCCTATAGCACTTTTCCCTCACCTGAAACCTCACCCTGAATCCCCCTAATCCTCACCCCTTTTACCCAGGGAGCAACTTGCTACTTATGCATCCAAGGCACCATGTTGACCACCAGGAAATACCTCAAATCAGATCTGCCAATTTCATTTTTAGTTCCTCACACAGACACAAACACTCACATTTATACACACACATTTTAATGGTGACATCCCCTCCAAAAGTCACTTTGCTTCTACTTGACCTGATGTCTTCAGGGTTAATATATTTTCAAGGGAGAGCCAGACAACATTGTGCAGAAGACCTGTGAGGTCTAAAGCGATGAAGCATTTCAAGAACTAATGTTGTAAACTTTTCAGTGTAATCTTTAAACTTTTGTTTCATCTGTGTGGGTTTGTTCATGTGCCGCTGTATATAATCAGTTTATGTTGGAAACCTGAGGAGAATCAGAGCTGAAGTTCACCCGAGTGTAGTTCTCTCGGAGGTGACTTTTTCCTTATAGGGAAGGAAGGTGTGTGTGTCTGTGAGATGGGATTCTTAAATGAAGTGCAGGTTAAATGTTGATTACTGGTGGCAGTTTTACCTCCCACTTCTAGTCTTTACAAGTGTAGATGTAATGCCAACAAAACCTCAGCACCCCTGCATCCTTTCCATTCCTCTCTCTTCTTTACTACATTGGACCTACTCAGCACCTCTTCTTTGTGGACCTAAACATCCTCTTCTTTCTTCTCTCCTCCTTGCTCCGTCTTACTCTGTCTGTTAAACTCTGAGATGGCCATTGTTATTATTATTATTATTATTATTATTATCATTATCATTATTACTACTACTACTACAATGATGAACAATCATGTTGCTGCTGCTAAACATGACACCGGACCTTCTGCCATAGACCTGAAACCTCAAAGCCGGGCGTTAGCTAGCCACAGTGCCCCACAGAAACTCAAAAGACCAACCAGCCACCTTCAGTCTTGACCTGCAGCTTCAACTCCACCACAACCAAGCAAAAACAACACAAAGACTCCTTGTTTGTCAGGACTCTCTGACCTTCATTGGCTTGCATGTCTCTTCTCTCTTCATCTGGTTGGTTGGTTTTTGTTTTTTCTTCATAGGGCTCAATTCATGTTGTTTTATGACTTTGTAACTGTGAAGCATGTCCTTTCTTTTGTTTCTTGTTTAATTTGACCTATTGTGAAAGTAGAGAAACAGCGCTGAATTGATGGAGATAAAGGTGTCAGGTTTAGCTTTCATCAGTGGATGATGTTATCACCACAGAAAGGTAGTTGGTAATATCTTGCCAAGCTAGTAAGAGCTTAAAATGGTATTTGCTGAATATCTGCTTGCTCCTGTAGCCTCTGGTGGACCTGTTTTCCTGTTCAGAGTCAAGCCAGAGCCTCTTTATCAAAGGAATAGTCGATTTTGGGGAAATATGCTCTTTTGCATTCTGGCTGCGATTTAGATGAGAGATTTGATGCCATATGTCTGCACCACAATCCACACAAAAACCAAGGGGGCTATGTGTCAGATGTTACTGCTCCTGAACAAGACGTAGTCCAGCACATTGACATTTTTACAATTTAGTTGTTGTACTAATTAAACCAATGAGATATGGTCTGTTAATCAGTGAGCCTTAGAGGTGCTGGTAGGCAGATTTTGCTGCCTGTAGACAAAGCAAGGCTAGCTGTTTCCTCCTGTTTCCAGTCTTTGTGCTAACCTGAGCTAATCATCTGCTGGCTGCTCTAGCTTCATACCTACAGTACTGACAGCTCTCATCTAGCTCTCTGCAAGAAAGCAAATTAACACAATTCCCAAAATACTGAATTATTCTCTAAGCAGTTGTGACATTGGTAACACACAGCTAAAGTTATTATTGCCACTATTTAGTTTTATCTCATAGTACAGTTGCTACAATAAGCCAAATTTCTGATTGGAGTTATTAATTGTTGGTAATAGTTTGTTATACTTTGCATCATTTGATGCATTCAGCAGCTCAAAACTCCTGTCTTATTCATTTCACCCAACATGTGTAGTCAAAGTACAGAGGAGGCTGAAAGTGTGACATTAGGCCATTACTCTGTGCTGTGCTTCGACTGTGGCTCCTACTCAGTTTGACGGTTGTTTCACTGTATTCCGCTACTTTTCTGCACACTGAGCGAAGCAACAGTCATCTGTGATGTGAAGGGGGAGGCTCTCTGTGTGTGTTTACCAGGAGGGATCCCTAACTTGCACTGCGGAGAATGGAAGAAGAGGCGCTGCTCTTTTTTTTTTTTTTTCTTCACAATGCAGTTGATAATCATAGATGCATTGTGTTGGTGAAAGGATGTCCACAGTGGTGGTCAGATGGTACAATTTGTATCACACACACTGAGGCGCTGTCGGGCTACAGAGCATAGGACATGAAAGCCATTTATTTAGGAGGCACGAATGCCACTCACCATAACCACAAACCCTCCACCCAAACCTTAACTCATTTAAATTCCTGTGCGGTGTCAGAACCACCGCATCAAGTTCACAATGCGAATGACTTAAGTTATGGAACATGACAGATGAGATGTAGAGTTGTCAAGAGGTCTTTTGCTCTGGTTTGGGTTATGTTTCTTCTTTTTCACAAAATGGGAAGCTCTGTGTGTACTGATGACTGAATGGCAAACAAAGAAATATGCAAAAAATGACCCAATTAGAGGAGAAGGAGGGTACAGTGATGTCACAGAGGTCAGACATGTTGGGGTAAAATTCTCTAAAAAGAAGCATGTTTGTGGTGTTTTCACTTCGATTGAATTTATTTTATTTACCCAGACATTAAGAAGATTTGACTTATCAGCCCTTTGAAGTAGAGGAAATCTTACAATATAACATTTTGTAAAACCCACTGAGGTACGATCAGCTTTCCTCTCATTTCTCCCTAATTTTGGTGGGGGTTTTTTCACTCACATAATGGAGGGCGTTAGACAGTTTTATTTGTTAGAGTGGCGCGATTGCTTTCATAAAGCCCAACATGAGACTTTAATGACACCGGTGCCCTGTCCTTCTCATCTTTTGTTTGATTGTCACTGTGCTCTTAGATACTGCCAGTGGTTTGGTTGAGTCTGGCTGGTAGATTCAGCACCTCTGGGACACCTGGGTTGGTCCAGACGTGTTCAGACAAACTCAGAGTACTTTTTTTTGTAATATTTCCACTTGCTGCTCTGTGTCCTAGGCCTGAGTCACATAGAGTAAAGACCCAGATGATGAGAACAGATCAGTGTATCATTCTGCTGTTTTTGTCTTCTTTACATTTTCCACCATTAAGACTGAGGCTCCCAGCTTCACACAAACTCTCCGTAAACCTGTTGTAATATATTTTCTCTGTGCTTATGTTACTTTTAGTCTATTCTAACCGACTCTTCATTTTAAAGTAGCAGTTTATCCTAACCAGGGAACAAGTGTGGTGAGTCGGGAGCAGTAGAAATCTGCAGCAGTGCAAATGCTGTGAACCTTTTGCGTCTGCTGAATCAGATGATATGATGCTGTCATGCTCATAATGTGCATGAGGATCCCTCAGATCAAAGCTGGGCCAAGTGCTTTTCAATTTCAGTGTCAGTTCTGTTGATATGAGGGAGAATTTCAGTCCCAGTGTCCTGACTGATTCTCTCTAAACTGAGCAAACCAAGTGGAACGTCCATTTTACCTCCCTCAGAAGTGATCATCAGCCATACAATTTCTAAACGGTTAAATGTGTTTCTGTTGTCAGGAAGTATTATCGACATATAAACGATTGTTTCAATTTTAAAATCAAGAAGAAAGGAATAGTGAAGTTGAGATTTTTATGCAACAACAATGTTTAATAGAACCTAACCCTTACAATTTGTTATCATCCTTGGACTGTGTCTTACACTCACATTTGGGACCTAAAATAAGTCTAAAAGGGGATGAATGTTGCTCAGGCCTGTTTAATGAGCTTCTATCAAGAATGCTAATTTTGTTTTATTTTGGGTCAGTAAACCTGACAAAGCAGTTGAAGATGCTCTGTAAATGGCGAAGAGACTCTTGCTGCAGTTCATCCCCTTCTTCTTTCCTCCTGTGAGTTTGATTCCTGCCTGCTAAAAACTCCTCCGAGGACAAACTGCTCAACTGAAACAGGATCTGGGATTTTCTTTTCCTAGGAATAAGTCATCACACTAAACATGAGTGAACCTCTGAGATCATCCCAAAGGCTTCATTCTTAGCCGACCCTAGCAAACACCAAGTCACTGGCTCCTGAGGATTAGAAATTAAACATGTTTTACGATTACACGCAGCCAAAAATCCTTGTACTGCTTGAAGCTGATGACTTAAGTCGGGAGACCCAAGTTGATGAGATTCGGGACTTCTGGGATTATCTGGTTGGTTCTGCTGTCTTGAAATATATGTTTGCTACACGTTTGTGAGCCCAGTTCAGTTTGCTTCAAATTCAGATCGCTGCAGAACAGCACCACAGAAAAAGACACCAACAACTGTATAAAAGGAAAAAATAGGCAAATGACAATCTTTAGAAAGGTGTAATTTGCTCATTGTTTGACTTCCATTCCTTCTGTGTGTTGTATGTGGGAGAATATTCGGAGTGTTTTAGCCATAATCAGAGCGTTCATACTCCAGAACTCCTCCTCGTGTTGTTGACGTCTCCACCTGCCACATTTCCGAGGTCTGTTTTTTAGTATTACATTATTATTACCAATGCTCAGATTCTTCTTGATATGATTATTTTATAGATATATTTTGTAGTGCAAGTAAAGTGACCTGTTTTTGAGAAGGTATTTTGTAGAATATTCCAACAGCTTCAATCTGTATGCCTGTTCTGCACATTCCAAACATGGATGTCAACAAACAGTGGACCTAACCGGCATCACCACAAACATCTGGCTAATCACCTCGAATGCTATCAGGTGTTTAAATCAACAGTGAAGTGTTAGTCCAGTCCAAAATCAAACCGTTTTCTCAAGATAAAGACGTCTATGCTACATATTGACCTTTACTGTCCAACAACTTCCCTCTTCAGTCTGTAATGCCATGGTTTATACAAGAGACTTTTGTCTTTTCAAAGGCTCTGTTTTCACAGCATAAAAACTGACATTGTTTTCAGATTATGAAAGTGCATAGTGTGAAAAATAAACTCTGAGGCTTAGGAAGAGCTTTAAGAAAGGTCACAGCATCTAACGCCCTCCCAGCTCTGGAGAAGCAGGGACATGCTTGCTGCCACAGAGAAAAGAGACTGTGTGGGGAGCAGCTGACAACAGACCAAATATAAGCCTTCTTGCTGTTGCACTAAATTATAGTTGTAAAAAAAAAAGTTTGACTACCTTTTACTGTGATATATAGCTTCTGACCATTGAAGTTCAAGAACTATTAGAGACATCATGATGTCTGGTGTCATTGTTGAAGCCTTAAATGTGAGTGAAGAGAGATGTTTCTTCATGCTCACACAGACAGACTAATCTTTCTGTTTCAAATCAGATACTGTTCCAAACTCTGCTTACAGCTGTTCTGATGCTGCAAGGTTATGGAATCCTTACATGGGCATCTGCTTCAGGGAAGCTTCTAGTCTGAAACATCAAGCCTTCAGATGGGTTGTGATGCCGGATGGGTCGCTGCAAATGATCACACACTTCTTGAACAACTCTGGTCAGATGTACAGCTCAACACATGCACATGCACACAAAAAAAAAAACATTAAAATGAGAAAAAAAAAGTTGTTTTTTTTATCAGGATATGGAACACAGCTTCTACTGTCGCCATTCTGAAAATGGGCTCCTGAGCCATTGTGTTTTACAGTTTTTTTGTTTCATTTTTCCTCAGTGGTGCTTTAGAATTCTTCATTTTGTACTTTGAGCAATATTTGATTCTTTTCTCCTTCTGTCTTCACCTGACTTTGTACCAGACTCTTGATTGTCTTGATTTCCTTTGCCGGGCCCTTGTACCTACAGTAATACCAATGTGAAACCTGTATTCTCCTCATGATTTGACTCAGTGGAAGTGTGATGTTTACATGTACAGATTTTTCAATTCTTTGTGGTTTGTTTTCTGTTTGTCAGCCCTCATCCCTGTTTTCAGTCAATCCAACTCTTTCCTTACACACTGAAGGGAAATGGGACTGCTTCGAAATACAGTTACCACCATTTCACACATAAGCCTATCACATGAGGGGACGTTGATGTTTTGAATTTCAGTCGGTCACTTTTCTTCAACTCTTGAATTTTCATCTTTTTAATACTATCCATTTAGAAATGCCTTGTTAGCATTTGGTTAGCACTGAAATGCTAAATATTGAGGAATGCTAACAGCTAGTTTGTGTGTGATTATCGGTTTATAGTGGCGGAAAGGTTCAACTTTTGTGCTCAGTCAAGGAACGTCACACGGCTGAAATGAAAAAGCAAGGCGTCCCTGTATGAAACAGATTGTGGGTGCGTGGGGGGACTGTGTGTGTGTGTGTGTGTGTTCGAGTCTGGGGGTGGGTTGACCTTTGACCCCTCGGCTTACTTCACAACACACAAAGTGACAGTGGGGCCACAGTGACCCTCCACTGGTGTGATTGTGATCCGGTGGAGATGATTCCTCAGTGAATGATAAGCCATTACTGACCTTGTGTGTCGGGTCTCTTAGTCTATTAGTATATTTAGCAAAAACTTAAACTACAGATGACAAAACTCAACCTCAGGAAAAAAAGGACATCACTTTTGTAAAAACCTGTCTAACTGAAGGCCCATTTCCCTCTCTTTGATACCATATAAATTATATCTAAAATTCTTTTTATATTTATTGTGTTTATTATTATATATAACAGTGGATACATTTTTTTCCAGTACCTGTGGCTAAATATTTTGATTCTTTAGAAAAGTGTTGATAATATATGTGAAGCAACTAAATGATTTAGGGGGAAAAAATGAAGTTTAAAAAGAAATCCAGGGTTGTTTTTTCTGTTGGCTGAACATGCTGGAGCGATACAGGCGTGTTTGTTTAGTCTAAAACGACAAGAACATATCACTCTGGTTCATTATAAAGAAACCAATGATCAAAAAACTGAGCTTTCTTTTGTGTGATGTCACTGCTAAGGCTGAAATGTTTCTGAAAAGTGTGACCATTGTTTTTTTTTCAAGCTGTATGTCACAAAGCTAAATATACTAATAAAATTGTGTGCTATCTATCAAACACATCAAAGTTTCTCTGTCCTTAGTTGCTGGCTAAAGGTGCATCAGTCAGCTTTTTCACAGTGATAAAATCACTGTTCTGTACGCTCTCTGTTAAGGTGTGGAGACACCAGTTCAGGGCAGAAGGACTCAATGCCAGACTCAGACAGAAGATCCAGGAGACTTTATTACAAGAGCTAGAGAAAAAGATATCAGGTCGAGGCCAGGAACACTCCAGTTGATGTAAAGAGGCCCAGGTGACTAGTGGCAGCTGGTCGAGAGCTGATCGGGTAGTTGTCACAGGAGGCAGATGGGGAGAGCTGGATGGCTGCAGATAAGGTTGGACCCGAGGAGCCAGTGAGATGATCCTGGTGAAGGTAAGTGGACAAAGACTAGACTGGCACAGCAGGTGGGTGAGGAGATGCACAGGACTGATGCAGGATCAGGAGTACCCGGGCAGTGAGGAGGAACTTCAGGTAGGTAGAGGTTGTAGGGCTGGAGAGGTCTGTGGGGTGTCAAGGAGTTCAGGTGAGTGAGTGTGGCTGATGCAGCAGCTATAGCCAGGTCATGGCATGGATAACAGGCAAGTGCTGACACAGAACTAGTGGAGATAACTCAGCCTTGAAGAGTTCAGGTAAGCTGAGTGAAACAGTCTCAGGAGCTAACCAGGCAGCAGCGTGGACACTGAGTTCAGGTAGCTGCTGTCTGAGAATGAGTGAGGGAAACCTTCAGGAAAACAGTCCTTTGGTCTTGGCCATCTGGATGTAGCGAGTGCAACTACGCAAACCAGAGGAGCATAATGGACCAGCAAGTGACTGAGGGAAAGGTATATGTGGCTGAAAACCAGGGGATGATTGGCAACAGGTGAAGACAATGAATGCTGATGGGACCCGTGGTAAAGCTGGGGCAGGAGAGGTGGAGCAGAGCAGGAAAAACAACCCAAAATAAAAGCATGAAAACAGGAAGAAAGTCCAAATCATAACGCTCTCTCTGTGTGTCTACTGACATGCAGTCAGTCAGTATCTGTGTTCAGTGAGTCTCTTCTAATCCATGATATGTCCTCACCTGTTATTACTGCAGTCTGTCAGTACCAGCCCATTCATGACCTCTAATCTCATTACTAGTATTTGACAGTACTACTGCTACTTATTAATACTACTAAAACTGATTGACCTTCTTGGTAGAATATTTTTTATTCCTCCTTCCTTTCATCCTTATTTCTTTCCATACTCTCCTTCCTCTCCTAACTTCCTTCCTTTCAACCTTCTTTTATTCCTCCCATTCTTCCTTTTGTTTTTTCTTATTTTTCTCTGCCCTCCACATCTTTTTACCTTTCTTTCCTTCATTTCATTCTTTCTGCTGCTTTTTCTTTTTCAGCTTTGCTTTTTTCCTTCCTTCGCTTGTTTCTTCTTGCTTCTACCTTTCTTTCTTTCCTGCAGTCCTCTCTCTAACCCTTTCTTCCACTGTTTCTTCCCGTCTTTTTCCTTCCAAGATCCTTCCTTCATCTTTATTCTTTTCAACTGTCTTCTTTATTCTTCTTTCACTTCTGAGCTTTTAGAATCAATTTATACATCAAATTGATATATACTTATACTAAACGATGTACTTCCCCGCTTTCATAAAATATTAAACTTAACTTGCTTTTATATCCTTTTTTTCTTCCAATTTTTCTCCCTTTTTTCAGCCTTTGTCTTTTTTTCTGTTGTAATTTTCTTTCAGTAAACCTTTTTGTTTAGCTCCACTTTTATATTTTTAAATGCACTAAAATTCAGCAACTTCTCAGCAACTAGTGTCTCTTTGGCAGCATATCAGTCCTGCCAATGTAATTTCTTCGGAAATGACTCTAGTTAGTTTCTGGACAACAATTTATATTAGGATTTGGATAAACGCACAGTGTTAGTAGCATTTGGTTTAGGTCTTTTCATTGTTGAAGGTAAGAAATATACAGTGGGTATGGAAAGTATTCAGACCCCCTTAAATTTTTCACTCTTTGTTATATTGCAGCCATATGCTAAAATCATTTAAGTTCATTTTTTTCCTCATTAATGTACACACAGCACCCCATATTGACAGAAAAACACAGAATTTTTGACATTTTTGCAGATTTATTAAAAAAGAAAAACTGAAATATCACATGGTCCTCCTGTCACAGACATAAGTATGGGAGCGAAGGTCAGACATCCTCCCATTTCTTCCTCCAGCACTTCATGAATGAAATCCCTCCCTGCTGAGCGGTGAGTCCCGGATATCGTTTAGATTAAGTCTGCAGTCCTCCATGTATTCTCACTTGTGTTTGTTTTATAATTGATTTATTCATCCACTTTTCTTTCAATAATAAACTATTTAATGTGCAATTCCTGTGAGTTCCTGTGATGAAAGATTCATACTGTCGATTTTTAGTTTTCACCTACACTTTAAAAGTCTTCATCTGAAAGCACTGGTTTGGTTGGCGCAGTAAAAACAACATTTTCCTGTCTGGTTTTCTAATATAAAATATGAAGAATATTTAATTTGACTGATGAGGGTCATTATTATAAAGATAGTGTTTTTGTTTGTTTGGTAAGTACATGTTAAGTACATCTTGTCAGTCAGAATGAAATATCCTGATGTAGAGTACTTTGAAAAGTGCACTCATATGTCATCATAAACCACATTATTATGATTTACCATTTAGATTCATTCTGAAGATGTTAGATATTACCAGGCATCTGAGGAAAAGTACAACCGGGTCATGTACAAACAAATGTTTTCTTTTTCACAGATTTGACACCACATAAAAAAGAAGACAGTTAAAAAAAGGGGAAGTGGCAAATTTACTGAATCTCAAAACTCAAAACTGCTTTGTGTGGTCACACAGCTTTCTCCTTCCCATTTTTATTCAACCACCAAACCTACAACTGCTTTTAAGAGAAGCACATTAAATCACATTTTTGACCATCTTTCCCACATTTTCACACCGACTCATCTATCTGGGTGAAACAGACCAAAATGCCACTGAAGCAAAATGACATGTTAAACATGACGACCAACGTTTACCATCCAACCTGACAGAACTGGAGAGGATCTGCAAGGAGGAATGGCAGAGGATCCCCAAATGCAGGTGTGAAAAACTTGTTGCATCATTCCCAAAAAGACTCATGGCTGTATTAGCTCAAAAGGGTGCTTCTACTAAATACTGAGCAAAGGGTCTGAATACTTATGACCATGTGATATTTCAGTTTTTCTTTTTTAATACATCTGCAAAAATGTCAAATTCTGTGTTTTTCTGTCAATATGGGGTGCTGTGTGTACATTAATGAGGAAAAAATGAACTTAAATGATTTTAGCATATGGCTGCAATATAACAAAGAGTGAAAAATTTAAGGGGGTCTGAATACTTTCTGTACCCACTGTATACAGTAGAATAGCAGGAGCTTTAAAACGGCTCATATTTAATAACGCTTTTCAGTATTCATTCAATTTTTCTCTGATCTGCATTTGCTACTGTAGCTCTTACAATACTGTCTCTGTCTCCCACCACTGACTGCTGTTGATGCAGGGGTGTTTGGCCTTACTGAGGACCACCCTCCTGCAGGGTTTCATACAGAGCATAGCGACCTACAGGCACTGAATGAAGTGAAGACTGCTGGCCTGGTTTACAACATGCATTTCCAGAACAAACTTGCCTAAAAAAATTCCCATAATAAGTCTGTAATCAGCTTGAACTGCATTTTACAGTAATGCATATGTTCAATGATGCCCTAACCACACCTTTCATCAACTCAGATTTGTGTTTCACTCTTAAGTTTTGATTAATTGCACCAGCACCTGAAATTAATGAAAAGCTGATGATGATTGAAGAGGGTGTGTTGAGAGGATGCTCCTCGGATGCAGCAACACTTGATGATTAGAGATGCATAAAGGGCTTTTTACCCTAAAGATTAGCACAGCTTGAAGAACAAACACCCACCTTCAAATTCTAGTGGCGCATCAACAACATGTGGTGTTCGGTTTATTTTGGGGCTTGCAGTAGAGATACAGAACTGATGCAGGAATAAAAGCACAAAGGTAGTTGTCATGCACAGTTTATTAATAAAAACAGAGGAAGAAGCGTCAAGTGCTCCACCAGTAAAAACTCACCAACACCTTGGACTCAGCTCTTTTGGTTTTATTGGATTTGATCAAACATTTTCAGTCTGACAGGCTGGGACTGCAACTAATGATTATTGTCCCTATTGATTAATCTGCAGATCATTTTCTCAGCTAACAATTGAGTCTATAAAATGTCAGAAAACTGGGAATCACTATTTTTCAGCATCCAATGCAATGTCTTTATGTTTTGTTAGACCAATAGCCCAAAACCCAAACATCTACCTTTATAAAGCTGGAACCCTAAAGTGTTGGAGATTTTTTCTTCAAATGATTAATGGATCAAACACCTCAATAACAGACACGCAGTCATTAACAAACCAAACGTGATGCTCATCAATCCAAAATGACTATTGCAGGAGACAGAAAAATCTCCAACATCGATTTCCTGCCAGGACAACATCAAGGTCAAGATCAAAGTTTTGAAGTGTTAAATCTGGTAAAACTGTTTAAAATGGTTATGGTTTTATGATGTAAAAACGAAGATAATAGAAGAGAGAAGCTGTCATACTGACTGTTTACTAAACCGACTGCATCGTTTACTCAGCCAAAATGACCTTAGGAGACATTCTCTCTCTCTTTGTGTGCGTGCGAACGTGCGCACACACCTATTAGCAGGATACGTTCAGTACGCAGGTGTGTGAGCAGCAGGAGGTGTGTTGAGCGGCAAACCCAAACTCTTCATGGGCTCTGCCAGCTTCGTGGATGTGAGCGACAGATGCTGCTACCCCTTTCTCGTTTCCACCAGATTACAATGGATTAAGATTTTTGGGTCACGCCGGCAAATTATTGTAGGAAACCGATTCGACTTGGATGTCCTCCATTCCCCTTTCCGCATTCCCGCAGCAGCGGTGCGCACTGCAGGCGTGGATCTGAGATCCATGATCTCAACAGAAAAAACCGGTTCCTCCGGCTAATCTGCTCTGCTGCTGCTGGCGGTGCATTATGTTTCCAGCCAAAGGAAGAGGGGGAAACTGGAGGATTTAACAGGTTATGACTGCAGTTTATAAGAAGTCAGGTTCGGTGAACTGATAAAGCTGAATTGTGTCTTGTTGGTCGGTGTTCTAATACAGATTGGAATAAACCTGCCGTAGCGCAGCTTCATGTCCCGGGATGGAGAGCTGCTGTCGCTCCTGTATGCCGTGTTTAAATCGGCTCTGGAACGCGATCTGGCCCGACATCCGATACCCAACCATCCATAACCACGACCATGTCATCGCCAATCCGGCCGCGCACCCGGCGGAAATCCGCACAGTGTCCGGCGACATCCGCGTCCCGTCGCCTAAGAAGCGGCCGGTGCAGCTGTACGCGGCGCTCTTCGACTTCGTGGCCCGCAGCGAGGACGAGCTGACTGTAAAGGAAGGGGACAGGTTGTCTGTGATAGAGAAGCGGGGGGAGTACGTGCTGGCCAAGAAGCTCACCGGGTCTCTGGAGTCCGGACTGGTTCCGGCGAACTACGTGGCTCTGCTGCAGGACGAGTTCGCTAAACACAAGTGAGTGTCAGAAATACGTCCCCTGCTCTTAATGTTTAGTCCTGCTCTTCTTTTGTCACATGGTGTGTTAATGTGGGAACTGGACATCACCTGGATGGGTTCTAAACGTTGCCTAAAAGGTGCCTTGTGCACTGAATACACAGCTGCACTGTCAGACACAGAGAGGGACTGAAACCGAAATCCTCCACAGTAGCCTACTGTAGGCCTACAGTATGTGGACGTGATCCTGAATCAGTTTGTTTGTTTTGTTTTTTGTAGAAATTGGAGGAAGTTTGTTCCTGGAAAAGTTATAAAACAAAGGAAATAGAAGCTAACACCTGACCGAGGTCTGACCTCGGTCAGGTGTTACTTATCAGTTTATCATTTCAGCTCTAATAATTATAAAGACTGAACTTGGAGCCTAGTGGCATCTTGGTGTTGGAAGCAAAGTTTAACACTAGGTTCACCTACCAAGGGGAACAACCAGCCTGTGTTGCCGAGAGCCCGCATGTACTGAATGTTTTGTACCTGCTGGTCCTCCATTATTCACTCAGCCTGCAGAGAATCATGTTTCAGCTCAGCTCTCTCTCTCCAAGGTTGATACCTTCTGTGTTCATGTCAGCTGACCTGACACAGACCCCACATCCCCAAACACAACACTGGAACTGAAGATCAGGACCAGCAAACAAAACCCTACAACTGAGACAATTCTGTGAAAAATTTATAGCAACCAAAAAGTTCACCAGTGTTCCTTTAATAATCCTGCTGTTGGTCACAGTAGTGAGTTTGTGCTGATTGCATTTGTTTCCTGCTATTTATATGTCCTGTAGTATCATTTAAACATCTCTGAAGGCAGGGCCATGTGTCCTTTTTGTTACTTTTTTTTTTTCAAATAACTCTCCATTTTTAGGTTGTTTCTTTTTAAACAAACATGAAGGTAAAATCGTCCTGGTTTTGTATGAACAGACCACACCCACAGTTTTCTTATAGTAAAGAAGCGAAAAACAAAATGTATCTCAGATTTAACACCCAAAAACGCTGGAGCCAAAACATTTTCAAACTTAGTACTGGAAAAGCCACATATTTTCATTGTGTGTGACACAAAAAGGTTTTTGTGGAAATACTGGGTCTGCTATCAATACGATCAGCTGTCAGACTTGCAGCAGTGACAGTGACACACAACTTATGGAAGATTGATGCAGTTTGTGTCAATTCCATTCCCTTCTTGGAGCTGCAGCTCAGTGAAAACTGAACACACAAACATGGTACACACACTTTTAGATTCAGAGTAACATAGACTTCTCAAAGATATTATTTCTGGCTCCCATATCTTTTTGTTCAGTTTTCTTTAGTATTTAAGTAATCCAGTGACGACAGTGTCTATATCCATTGGTACATTTCAAACAGGAACTGCTATTAGCTGATTTGGCATACTTTTACATGTAAACACATGAAGGTAGAACAAAAATGAAGGTGAAGTTATAACTTCCTGTTTACAGCTTCATATAGATTTGTGGTTCAAAACTAGAAGTAATACAAAGAAGAAAGTTCTATAAATAAAATTTCCAAGACCCCACATGTTTTGTGTGGTCAAAAGTACAAAGCTCAAAAATATTACATGTAAAATAGAGCAATAAAGCAGCAGATGCTCACAATGGAGACGCTAGAACCAGAAAGTATTTAGCATGTTTGACTGAAAAATGAGAGAAGTAATGAATTGGTTATATTGAAAGTCACAGATTAGCTTTTTATTGACTGACTGGTTGAGTAATACACTAATATTAAGTTTTACTTTAATATTACTTTACTTAAGTTTTTAATGACCTTTATCCTGACAATGATGAAGGTTTTTCATTTTGATCTAGAATGTATTACAGTATTTTTAGGGTTGGTTATAATATCCTAAAGCCTTTTATCCAGAAGTGTGTACAGCTTCTTGAGTAGCTGCTTGTTGTTAGTTTCAATGAAACCTGAGCGTCATGGAGAGCAGGCCCGCCCTCTCTGATAATTTAAAGTACATACAGGTCATATTCTCATATCTGAGCAAACAAGCAGGACTTCATGACTTAAATGGCGAAAGGCTTTTTCATTGTCTTATCATCTTAAATAATGTTCTTGATAATTTGCACAAAATACAGTTTTGTGTGCAAACACCAGATATATAGAGATCTGTTAGAAGTGACTCATGTTGACGCAAGGTTGTTGGTCTGAAAAGGTTGTAAATGAAGGCTGCCAAAACTTGTGGCAGTTGTTTCAACTGACTGAACTAGTTGGTGAAACTGTGTTTTTGTAATGTTTGCCACTTCATTCTGTAGCTGCCAGCTTGCATTGTACAGGATGTGATCTATGTGTGTGCACACGAATGCTTTGCTTTTGGCTTCTGTGTGTCTGCTGGCACATGTAACACATTGTTGTTCACATTAACTGATTTACTCCCATGTTAGGCTACCTAGGGCCACTGCTGGAGGTTTGGGTCCCCTAAGCACAGGTATCTTTTGTTGTGTGATGGCCATATGTTTACAAAAGTCAGAGTAAAGCTTGATTTATGGCTTTACCTCAGTTGCTTCAGATGATACAGACCATCTCCTCCAAGGTCTTCTCTCTTGTTTGTCTTGTAGTAATTTCAGTAAAAGTAGCTGCTGCTCAAATCTGATTTAACCCAGAATCACAAATCAAGCTTAATGAGTTACATACTACATTTGTTTGGTCAGCATGAGGCAGAGTCTGGAAGCAGACGTTTATTATTAAGCATTAATGTTGCTTATTTATGATGTGTTAACTTGCTAAATAACCCTGTGTTAGTGCAGCCAATTGCCAATAATGTGTGAATATGTTCACTGCTGGCAGCAGCCAGTTTACCTGTGATATAGGGGAGAGACGATATCACTTCTTCAGCTCACTTTCCGAATCACATTGTAAAACAGTGTAATGAATTTGTTTTTGTATAAAACTTTGCTTTTCAGGGATATTTTAACATAACTGTGTTGTCCCTCTAAAAAAGGCAGTGAAACAGAGGAGGACCCATGGTACAACTCGCAGCTCTGCTCCCTAAAGCAGGCATCATGAAAACTAGAAAGGAGGGGGTGCTCCACTAAGTCAGAAGACTTTTTCTTAGCCTGGAACGATAGTTTAGTGACATAAAAAAGCCCTTTGTAGTGACAGAACAGCATATTATTTATCACTGATTGAGGAAACCAGGTTTCTTTTCAGCACTGTAGCCAGGCTGACAAAGAGCCACAGTGCTGTTGAGCTTAACATTCCCTTAGATCTCAGCAGCAATTACTTCATGAGCTTCTTTACAAATAAAATCACAACTATTAGAGAAAAAATTGGTCAGACCACTCCCACAGCTCTAGCAGATGTGCCATCTACTACAATGGCTTTAGAAACATCTGTAAGACCTCATTTATACTTGGACTACTTCTCCCCTATAGATCTCTCTGAGTTGACCTCAACAATTGCTTCATCTAAATCATCAACATGTCTCCTGGACCCCATCCCGACAAGGCTGCTCAAAGACGTCTTTCCCCTAATCAACACATCCATACTAGATCTGATTAACCTCTCTCTATTAACAGGTTATGTTCCAAAGGCTTTTAAACTTGCAGTAATTAAACCTCTACTCAAAAATCCTACACTTGATGCAGGTATCCTAGCTAACTATAGACCAATATCCAATCTCCCGTTTAGTTCTAAAATTCTAGAAAAAGCTGTTGCAAAGCAGTTATGTGACACAAGAATGATTTGTTTGAGGATTTTCAGTCAGGAGTTAGAGTCCATCATAGTACAGAAACCGCACTGGTGAAAGTCACCAATGATCTTCTCCTAGCCTCGGACAAAGGACTTGTCTCCATACTTGTCCTCTTAGATCTCAGTGCTGCTTTTGACACCATTGATCACAGCATCTTACTGCAGAGACTTGAACATGTTATTGGGATTAAAGGAACTGCACTAAGTTGGTTCAAATCTTATTTATCCTCAAGATGACATAGCTCTGGCCTCCACTATTGCTATGAGGAACATTGGAGTACATTTTGACCCAGATATGCCCTTTAAATCACACATAAACCGAGTCTCTAGAACTGCCTTCTTTTACCTGCGTAATATCGCAGGCTGGACTACTGTAACTCTTTACTATCAGGATGTCCCAATAATTCCATAAAAAGCCTCCAGTTAATCCAAAATGCTGCAGCCAGAGTACTGACAGGGAGCAAAGCCCTTAATGACAAGGCTCCATCGTATCTTAAAGGCCTCGTAGAGCCTTATCATCCTAACAGAGCACTTTGCTCTCACAGTGCAGGTTTACTTGTGGTTCCTAGAGTCCACAGAAGCAGAATGGGAGGCAGAGCCTTTAGCTATCAAGCTCCTCTCCTATTGAACCAACTCCCAGTCTCAGTTCAGGAGGCGGACTCCCTCTCTACCTTTAAGATTAGACTTAAGACTTTCCTTTTTGATAAAGCTTATAGTTAGGGCTGGATCAGGTGACCCTGAGCCTTCCCTTAGTTATGCTGCTATAGGCCTAGGCTGCTGGGGGGCCCCATGATGCTCTGAGTTTCT